ATGTCTATGCTTGGAATACGCCGAATTCGTACTTCGCCATACCATCCTTCCACCAATGGCTTAGTGGAACGTTTCCACCATGACCTAAAAGCAGCTCTAAAGTGACATAATGACACCCGTTGGACTACATCACTCCCTCTTGTGCTTCTCGGTTTACGTTCTTCCTTCAAGCAAGACCTCGCAGGTACATCCGCTGAACTTGTCTATGGCACACACCTTCGATTACCATCTGAGTTCTTTCAGCCATCCTCTGCTCCAGTTGATCCAGCATCCTTTCTGCAGACTTTCCGAGAGGCAATGATGAAGCTGTCTCCAACTCCTACATCATGCCACAACAAATCCACCCCATTCGTACATCATGCACTCAGCACTTGCACTTATGTGTTTATGTGAAACGACGTGGTAAAACCACCACTCACTCCTCCATACGATGGACCATTCAAGGTCTGTGCACGTAACAATAAACATTTCACCGTTCTCGTGCACGACAAGGAAACCATTCTGGGAATAGATAGACTGAAGCCTGCCTTCTTCAAAGCTTCAAACACTCAGGTTCCTGTGACCAGTGATCCTCCTGCTTCCCTGGACCCAACTGTTTCTCCAGATACTCCTCCTTCGATTGACCATACGCTTCCTCCCAGTGCTCCACCAGTTGTCACACGATCAGGAAGACGTGTGCTCTTCAGCACCAGATGTTGTGAACTGATTTTTTCATTGTACCTTTGGTATTCGGGGGGGGGTGAATACTGTATAGAACTCTTTATCATTATTATTATTTGTCCACTGGCCCAAGAGAGGGCGCTACCAGCTTTCACCCTCTTCTCCACTAGGGCAAACTTCGGACTCGTTACTCTGTTCCTGGCTGCCGTCGGTGAAGCATGCGCTCACCTCTCTTCCACTTCACTTTCATGATTTCTTAACTACATGGACTTGCTAACTATAAAAATGCTTACCGTGCGAACTGTAATCATTGTGACTGTGTATCAGTGAACGTGTGTTAAAATTTATACCTTTTTCTAGTGTTAAATAAAAATTATCGAGTTAAGCTATCATCGTTTTATCTGCAGCAACCCAAAAATGGCATCCATAGACGAAAGCCATAACTTTATAAATTTAGAATAATTCAAAGAAATAATGTTTAAATGAAGTTTAGCAAAAATTGTATATAATTTAATAGGCCATACAAGGAAGTCATGTGATGCAGAGGAATAAGTCATCAGACAAGGATATAATCGCATAAGTCATCAGACAAGGAAGTCATCAGATTTTTATTACTTATATCTGAAGGAGAAAAATTTCGCCTCTCCTTATCTCTACTGCCTGGTGTGACTGCACTGGTCCTGGTGCCACCCCTGACCACATTTAGTTGTAGTGTTGAATGCGACTTTACTATTGGTATGATGAATCTGAGTATAATTATCTCATAATGAAAAGATATATATGATTATGTATGTGATACAGAGATTGGACAATAAAACTGAAATACTGCATTTGGACTGGGGTTTTCTTCCACAGCGGATCCGTTGGCGCCGGTGCGGATTTATTCGCCAAGCTCACCAACGGCTAATTGGCCATCATTTTAGAGGTGTATAGTTAAGTTGCATGATATTTATCATATGGAAGCCATTTTAGCGGTCATTTATCATTTATTTTAGCGGTGTACTAGTCAAGTTATAAGATATTTAGCATACAGAAGTAAAATAAATAGGTTGATAATGACATTTAGCGGTGTATGTTTAACCCGGGAGGACGCACGCTGTATTATTTAACACAAGAACGTCCGTCGCAATTAAATGACATACAAATGAAACATATTACAATTCAGTAAAATAATGCATTATGTATTATTTGTAACATTTATTATATAAAATAGCTTAAAAATAATGATAATTTTAAAATTAATAATGAATAAAAGTACTTACATTTTCTAGATGACTAGGAATCATTGATTTCTATGAGAAATTGGTGTTTTTTATTTTTGAATGCAATTATAATCCAAATCATGCAGAATTATTACATGGACAATGAGTTATATAATTAATTTTCAAATCAATTAGGCTCAAGAAGAAGTAGATATTTTGTAGTTTATACATGAAGCTTCTATTTCACAGTGTTCTTGACATATTTTTTTTACACTTCACACATACAGTTTTTGATTTTCTGTCTTTTTTTCTTGAGCACATGTAACATCGGTAACATAATTTTATTTTCTTTGTTTGCAAATCTTCAAGAGAATCTTTGTTGTATTCCTACTGTTTCTGTTGTGATTTCAAATGAGGATCTAAAAGTGCAAAGGCCAAATCAGAAATGCCTCCTATTCCTGAACTTCTCTGGTGGAGTTTTAGTAGATAAAAGCAAGATCCTTGAATTTATCTTGGCAATATTTAATAGCGAAAAAAATATGCCCATCGGTTTGATATTCTGGCCACAGAATAAGTGCCACCTGTTTCGTTGACTATATCAACTGCTCTTTTTGTCATGTTATAAAACGTAATTACTTCAAATTTCTTCAAATCTCACGTGCTTTTATCAATATGGTCATCATTGTGCATAGTTGACAAAAGGTTAACACATTGGTTCTTTTTAGCCATATAAAAAAGTAGCATTATATCCTTCTGAAAACCCAAGAGAGTTGAATGCTGTTCTCTATTCTTCGACACAAATTCAGGTGGGATAATCTTCTTATCCTTGCATATTGTTCCAATGATAGAAATTTTATTTTTCTGTAAGAAATTGGCCAATTCATAACTGGTATACCAACTGTCTGTGTCAAACAAAACATGACAATGCTGAAAAACGTTTCTTCCAGAATTGTATAATGGAGCTAGGATGTGCTTGCTTTTTCACAAGAACTGTTGACTTTCTTGTATGACCCATCTGGCTGCTGTCCTGAGTAAATTTCCATGTTGAAAGTATAGAAGGTTCTAAATGAGTATAGAAGAATATAAGTATAGAAGATGATCACTAAATATATTGTAAAGTATTTTTCAATAATTGACAAAATAACAGACTATCTTCTTAATAAAATATAAATTTTATTTTTAGCTTACGGAGATAGATAATTTTAAATAAAATTCTTTAGTGGCAAAATTTTCATACAACTACTAGCTGGTAAAACTTCAGAATTCTCATTTAAAAAAAATTTTTACATCACACAAATATGGCATTGCCACTTCAATAATAAATATATATATTTGTTAAATAACAAAATATTACAATATCTTCAAAATCTTGTAAGAAAGTCCATCTCTGAAAAAGATGTTTGGAAACTTATAAGAAATGATGATCTGCAAATTTACCTTAAAATGGACCTAATTCAATGCTGTATACATTAGTGCAATTTAGAATATCCAAAGTGAGAATGGAAAAAGCAATATTCTCATTTCCATTTATAAAATAACCAATGCTGTTGACAAATGAATATGTATCCTAGGATAATTCCAGTTCCAGGATATCATAGAAATTATTTCTCCTTATAACAGATGTGGGAAAAACCAGCAGTTCCAGTATTTTAGACTTTGCATTAGACCTGATGAAATTAAACATGACAACATCATTTTCTTTTGAATGATGCAGCCATACGTATGAAAAAGGCAGATGAAAAACTTAAAATAAAACTTGAAAATAAACAGCCGTGTTATCCCCCCCCCGGCCGATTTTCATCACCTCATCCGGTAGTGACTGACGCACTGTTAGCCAGCAGCAAAACGGAGCCCCGAACAGACAAAAAATATTCTTTTGCTAAGGCAAGTGCTTGTGAAACCAGGTTTCTACCTCCGACATACCAATTCGCCAGGTTACCAGCTTTTATCGCCATTTTTGGCAATGTTTACATTTAAAGGATCCTTTGTGGAAGTGCTTCCTTGGACTGTAATTTTTAATATAGCATAGGTCCTCTTTTGGAGGCCAGTATTATAGTGATTCTTCTTCGACATTGCTGTATGAACCATGTACACCATTAAAGGCATTTTTAGCCATTCTTTTTTTAAACCAGAAGCTCTCGGTTACTGTTGGTGGAAAAAAAAAAAATTTTCTCAACTCTGCCCACTGGCAAACCCCATGCAGATTAAATGGTATTGAGATCAGAGGATCATACCAGTCATGAAGAATGTTCCAATGTGTATGATTTCTTTATACTAATTTTTTTGAAAGAATGTAATACATATTTTATGTACTAGTTTGAATTGACAACCCTGCAAGAATGTATGTGCAAATGTTACTTGCATCCATGGAAAACTAGGACTCAGGCATATATAGTCAGGCATACCATTGAGCATTAGGCAATGCAGTTGCAGATAGCAGAGGTAGAAACCTTAATTCAAACAGGCTTTGTTAAAGATGCTTGATAGGTTTTGTAGGGAGCAGTGAAAATTACCAGAATTGTAAACAAGATGGTAGTTACAATTTAGTTGTAAAAGAATGGTGCAATAGCAAGTACGTGCATTGTCTGACTAACATCTGTAATCATTTGATTTCTTGTTTGGGCAATTTGACTTTGTCATCTCTCTTCTCTGGTTTGACAACTCTGGACTATTTCTTTTGGGATTACCTGAAGAAGAGAATCTGCACATTGTTTGCTGAAAACTATTAACAAACTGAAGAGTGCCATCAGCCGTGAAGTGCATATTCAATAGGACATGTTGAGATATATTGTGAAAGCCTTTCCGCGTCATTTTGAACAGTGCATCCAAGCAGAATGATAATCTATTCAAGGTGCACTGATGTCTTAATGTCCATATTGTACACTGCATTTGATGCTTATGTGTATACTATTTTTTCCCCCATTAGTATTAGTGACTGCTTGTAGTGACGTTAAGTCACTACAAGCAGTCATCATCTTTCTGTTGTCATTTAAAACTGATAAGCACACCATGTGTCACCTTGTATAATGAGAAATATCAGATAATCCTATCTTGTTAATCACTGTTAGTATAAATTTTTGTTTATTATGAGCTACATTAATTTTAAATTTATTTCCATTTTTTTTTTCTCTTCGAAAGATTTAGATTCAGCTTTTGCTTTGTCTGAGCAAGTATTAAAGGCTGGTGATCATAAAAAATCATATGGAAACATGCAAATAATAGTTTTGCCTAAAGATTATGCAAAAGGTCCCAAATTTACAATTGGGAGGAACAGGCAAGCTTACATTTTAAATGATGCAGGTGAGTAATTTTTATAATTGTAATAGAATTATTAATCTAATCTTTTTATTTTAATGTTTTTATGGTGTATTACTATAAATTAATTTTAATGTTCTTCGAGAAATATAAGGAAATGAGAAGTTTTTAAATTGGTTTTTGGTAGGGTTTTTAACTCTTTCATTTTTGCATTTTGTTAAAAGTTTGTAGAAAAGATGTTTAGAAATTCACAATTTTAGATTGGGAGAAGATATTTCAATAAAGTTTTGCAGATGAAAATTTTTATTGTGTAATATATGTAAATTTAGAAAGTTATAATTTTTAAATCAGCTTTCTGTTTTTCAAGAGTTTTCAAGAATTCTTTTAAAACTTCATACAGGCAGTGAAAAATTTATTTTCAGTATCACTTTAATTTAATAATGCAATATTTTTGGTGCTTTCTGATTATTATTACTCCCATGAAAAATCTCCAACTTTTTGTGACTTTATGAAAACCATATATTTGGCTTAACCCTTTGCGGCACAGTTACTCTGTAGGTTACTCTGAACCTTCTTTATTTATAGTAGATGGCAGTTCAACACAAACCAGTCCATATATTTTAGCCATGTTTAGTTTTTTAAGACCCTCATTTTTCAAAGAAATCTTCCAGATTTTTTTTTTTAGGGTATAAAAGGAGTTGTTTGAAAAGAAATTTCTCTGTTATATTTTTGGCTGTATGCTAATCTCCTCATTCTATATTAGTTTTAAATTTCTACCTTGAAATCTTGCCTAAAATCAAACGGCGAACCCTAGGTGTGCACAGACCGGGCTGACCCATAATCTAGGACAACTGAGACACTGTATTCTTTGTTCCTCCGCATCTCATCGGTCAGTTCATTAATGCTTGTTTCAGCACTCTTTTCGTAGCTCTATTCAATCAGTTTGCCACTTTGTGCACACCCTCAGAATTAAAACGATAAGTGCTATCTTCACAAAATTTTGCTTGTGTACTCCTCTAGGCCTAATTAGACTGCCTACTTTTTTTTTTTTTTAAATCAAAACTCCGACTTTAAAAGGTAGCATGCTGGAAAGGGTTAAAGCTCATAGATATTGTTGTTATCTTTATATATAATAATAAGAACAAACATTTTATGAGCAAAAACAAAAGTCTGTGGGGCTTATGCTTGTATTTTTATAGTTGTTTAACGAAACTGTTAGTTAAATGATGGCTAAATATAATAATGAAATAGCACAAAGTAACTGTTGTCGCATCTGTCTTAAAAGTATGCCAAAGATCAGTTTTATCAAATGCTGAAGTTGGGCTTTCAGATAATCAAACTACCTCTTTTTTTTTTCCTTTAGTTTTATTATTACTCCTTATTATGCTTTATGATCTTTGATCTTCATTCTATTCTTGAAATCAAAAAGCTAGTAGTCTGAGTATTAATATGGGTATTTTCTTTTTATTAAAGCAACCATTGTGAAAGAAAATTTAGCTGAAAATCAATCTTATTTAACACCTCATACAGATGAATTTAAATCTTCCAATTAACGTTCTTTCACACATATTAATTGCTTCTTGCACAATTTAAAGGACATGAATTCTGTCCAAAAGTAAACATACTATAGCACTATTAGAAATAACAGCACTGGGAGCGATTTCCCACATGAACACAGTATCAGGTTCAATGTTCCTTCTAACCTTCTTCGGGAACATACACGGACCTGACTCGGAACAGAGAGCTTACTAAAGCTATGTTCACTAATTGTGGTAAGTAGACAGGATACAGACGAAGGGTATACAAAACCCTTTATTTTTCTCTATATACAATAACTTCCGTACTTCGGAATACACTGACCCACCACTCGGGGTCTAACGTAAAATTCTAAAAAATAAAACTAAACTCTAATTTAACTTTAGAATAATACACGTGGAAGATTGGCCTTATAATAACAGGAAGCGTATGTAGCACAGAGACTGTGAACACTACAATACGTTTAATTTATCAAGAGGATTAAAACCTCTGGCCTGGAAGGCAAACAGCAACTGCGTAACTTCTAAGGTAAGCGGCCTGCGTTCGACTTCACTGCTTCCTCTCTCTCGCTTGGCAAAAAGGCCACACTTAAATACTTGGCGTTCGCCAGACAAACTTTGCATAAAAACCTTCAACGCTTATAATTCTGGCCGGAAGTAGAAAATAAGAAGTGATAGTAAAGATTTAAAAATAAAATAAACGTTAGTAAAACTTAAGATCCTTACATACTTCCCGCCAGAGTTAATTAGTTTGAAACTGAGGTCTAAAACGACCTTGTTGAAAACTTTTAGCTCTAGAATCTAACGCGAGGCCAACCTTTTACAAACACAACTTCGCTAGAAACTAGAAAATTTAAAAGAAAGAAATTTGTTACAATAGCAGCTCCCAGGATATACAACAATCTTTTTTTCATCTGTACTGCATCTAAACAGGAGCTTTATTCAATTCTGGTTCCTTCCAGAGATCTGGAAGGAAAACTAGTTTAATGAAATGTTACACAATGACATGGCAAATAACATATAGAATATACTTCTCTTAACATTCTTATTTCATTCATGACTATTTTAATTATCTCTCCCCGTGCTCTCTGACATGTGTTGTAAAAGAACACCAAACACGAATGTGTTTCTGTCTACGTGTGCCACACTTCCTCCTACAATCAAAACACTAACGTGTTAAAATTCAACATAACGAGACCTCTTAACACACCCTACTTTCAACTCTAAACCCTGAGGTACTATTCTAAAAGTGGCTAACTCTAAAGTGTAGCGTCAGAGAGCCTAACTACATCATTCAACCTTTACCACATATTCGCCATGATTTAGTCTTTACAGTCACACGAATAACAAATTTTTAACATTACTTTCACTTTTACCATATCACGGTATTTCTTAACATTTAAAATAACAGTTCACATTGTATATAAGAACATATCAACATGCCGTTAATTTTACACATTTGAAAACATACATTAGTAGTACATTGTTAACTTCTATTCTTTTCAAAGCAAGTGCCAATTCTTTCTACATTGAAATAATACTACATTTCAAAAAGTCTTTCAGACTAAAACTTCTTTCTTGCTAGAATGTTTTAAATAAAATTTATACAATAACTTTTTTACAATATTTAAGTCTTTACACAACGCTATTATACATCAACTTTAGTTTTACGCGCGAGTAATTGAAAAAACATAATACGAAAATCGGTCACAACTCATTTCTCGCCCTTTTGGCGATAAAGGTAGACCTCGCATGAGGTAAAACTTCTTGAAATCTGCCACTTGCAGTAAGAATGAAAGATTAACTTAAGTTTGCAAAGTAAGTAACATAAAATTTTACTTATCTTTGTAATATTCGGACATCCTTTTCTGGGCCCAGTCTTTAAAGGTATGCAGATAGTAGCTTTGATTTATCCTCCTTCTTGTACGGGCTCGCCCTTCAGTGCTTTCCTCTGGAAGCTTCCTTTTTCACCAGTTCGGCCACCCTTGAATACCTTCCTTTTCTCCTCTGCTGTGGTCTTGGCCGTTTGATGGCAGCTGGTCTTGGCGGAACCGGGAAACTTCTGTCGTGATTCCTGCTTGGACCTCGTTGTTGGCCGTTCAAATTTTTCCTTGTACTTTTTCCTCCGCCGCTGATGGCCCTTCCGCAGTTCGGCGACTTTTGCTGCGGAGAGTTCTACGGATGTAGAACTGTCGGATGAGTAGATCTTCCGTTTTAAAGCCGGGTTATAGTTGCCGTCATTTCTCCTGGTCCTCTTCCCATACGTCGTCCTTCTCCCTTCTTCATTCTGGGGGTGTTCGTGAACTCTGTTTTCTGGACGGTGGAACGGCTTCTTTTTCTTGTTACCTTCAATTTTTCCGCGGGGCAATTTTCTTTTCACTTGCTTCTGTCTCTCATTGGCTTGCCCTTGTACTTGTCGTTTTTCCACCTCTGTAGCTTGTGCCTGCGGTGTCTGCCGTGCCGGATCCTGCAAAAGATCTGAAAAGATTTGCATTTTATTACGATCGAAGTAGGGCTTGATTTGATGAATGTTTGCGGAACAGGTTTCACCATTTCTGGCTTTTAACACTACAACAGCGTGAGTTATTTTTTCTATAACATATGGTCCTTCAAATCGTGGAAAAAATTTGGCAGTTTTATCTTCTGGTGCTGAAGAAAGTGAATGCTTAATTTTTAAAACTTCATCCCCTACTTTATAAGTTACTCCCCGTCGTTTCAAATCATAATATAATTTGTTTTCTTTGTGCTACTTCCGTATTCTTTTTTGCTTCTTTTATTAGTTTTTCTATATCACCCATTTTAAATTCTGGGGCTCTTTGTTGCACATAAAATAATTTATCTAACGGTGTTATAATCTTTCTGCCTAGAAATAACTCAGCAGGAGTTTTGCCCGTTGTATCATGTTTTGCGGTCCTAAGGGCGAAAGCAAATTCATTGACATAGTTATCCCAGCTTTTATGAAAATTTTTAACATAACTACGGATAATTTTCACTATATTTCTGTTGACCCGTTCCGCTATATTTGATTGCGGCCGATACGGGACCATTTTTAAATGACGTATGCCCAGTTTTTGGCACATGTCTTCAAATATAATACTTACAAATTGAGGACCATTATCCGATATAACTTTTAGGGGCGCCCCGTATTTTAAAATATATTTATTTAAAATAGAATCAGTAACTAATTTCGCGGAGGCTCGTTTTAAGGGAACAATTTCGGTCCATTTACTAAAATGATCAACCATAACAAGGAGATAGCGACTTTTATTTAACTGACTTTTTGGGAAAGGGCCCAATAAATCGATGCCAATTATTTCATTTGGAAATTCGGATTTAATACTATTTAGAAACCCGGCCGGGCGGAAATTAATATAATTAACTGCTTGACATGTTGGGCAGGACTGGACATACGCCCTTGTTAACTTTTGCAGTTCAGGAAAGTAGACTGCCTCGCGTACGCGTTGGATAGTTTTTCGAATACCAGCATGAGAAGCTAAAGGGCTGTCATGG